CATATAATTAAGTATCTATATTTCCTCATATAATAATACAGACATACATTTCACAATGATATTAATCCCCATTAACATTCAGAAAAGACCTCACTCAATGCATTTTTATAATAGAGTAATATTTGTATACAATCAGTTGATTCAATTGCTTATCACTTGAGGTTCAGATCACCTGTCTTTATAGGCCAGTAAACCTTTGAAATGTATTCTTCTGAGGGTTACCCCCTCAAAGTAAAGTTTATTCAAGCTGTGAAGAAGGTAACATGGAGTCTGGTGGTGAAGGAAGCTTCATATTCTGTCGGTCTTTCTCCTACTGGTGTTTGCTGAAATGCAAATTGTTCTGACTCCTGTCATCTTCTCCCCCTGCTGTCTTGGTGGCACAGTGTACAGCTTATATGTAAATATGGACCTTCATTGTTCTTTTGCCTGAAGATTTGGGAAGGTCAGAGAATCAAATGCACATTCCTTTGTCTCAGCAGAGCTGTTTACCTATCTCCCCCAACATGTCTGGTTTAACACACTTTAGTCATAATTCCAAGAATATTAGTGATGTGAGGTATCATTTGAAAACTAATAACTCACTCAAGGGTATGCCTTGTACAAAGTTTATTATAATAGTATGTAGGTCTGAATACAGGGGGGCTTAAATTAAATTAAGACAAACTCTGCTTGCTTCCCCATAGCATAAATTAAAATCAATACCTAAATATCTCGGTTGAGTTTTGTAGCAATGCAAAATCTTGCTTCCATTCTAAAGGTGTGTCAACTGAAGTTTGCTGGGGCACTGGAGAGTGACACATGGATGAAATCAATCCTGCAACTTTTTCTTGCTGTTTTCTGTTTCTGTTCTCCTCTGGCACTAGTTTTCTTCCTGATACAACGTCGTAGACACCTAGTACACAGTAGATTGCAGGGCTGCTACTAACAGGTCATGATTCGGTACCAGATATGGAATGGCCACAGAGCTTCCTTCCTAGAGAGATACACCAGAGATGTGCTCACTTTAAGACACTTTAATGCTATGAGCTGAAGTAAGGTATGTTACACATGTCACCCTCTAGTGGCGGAACATAATACTTTTAGCATTGCGCTACTGACATTACCAGCTGCTCCTATAGTACATGTCTAGGAAAAGCTTTTTAATTGCACCTGATCTCCATTTGTATGTTACCGTCTAAGAACAAAGGGCCAGATGCTGCCCTCAGTTACATCAGCGAACCCCTGGATTCTATAGTTTTGGTGGAATTTAACTACAGGGGAGAATTTGGCTTAGTGTTTGCAATCATTGTTTTGCTTCAGTTCCATAACCGTGCTAGGTAAATTAGTAGATCAGTTTTGCAAGACAAAAAAGATAAGTGCTAGAGTAAGTGGCATACACTCCAGCTGTCTCTTGAATCCATGATCCCTATGGAAAAAATGAACGATAGAAATGTCTGTCTAAATCAATGGTTTTAGTCTCTCCACCTGGACTATATGAGAAGGGCTGGGACTATACCAATTTCACTGAAAGGCATGTATCTTCCTTCTGTTGTTTTCTAATACTCCACAACAAAACCTGCTTGAGTTTATTTCCTTTTGAGATCCTCTGTAGAGAAATGTATCCTGTAGGCTGGCAGTGACTGCGTATTTACTGCTTTGTGTTGAGCAGAAGAGAATCATAAGACCTGTATAATCTTCTACCTTATGACCCTGTTGGGTACAAAATAAGCCTGGCTTAAAACCAGTTTATTTTAGCTTTATTCTGTACGTTTTAAGATGATGCTATTATCAGCTATGAATTCCATAGCTATGCAAAACCAGATAAGGCAAGAGAGATCAGAAGAAGGAAGACTCATTTCAAATCTCTGGTTTCTGCTATGTTTTCCCTCTTTGTCTTCTCCACCTCTTCTATTGTCAATCACTGTCTTTTATCCCTTGGTCCATAACTTTGTACAGACTCAGTTTATGAAGTTACTTCATCTGTCTACCTACCTAATTAAAACATTCCCATGCATAAATCACTATAACTAACCTAAACCAATACATTTTAGCAGGATAAACAACAATTTATCTGTCTTTTATCTGTCAACTATTCTCTGCTGTCCACTTCTTTGGCTCCATCTAGTTCTTATCTTACTGGCCTGTTTCTTGTGGTCTTAGGTTTTTACTTTTTCGTTTGCTTTGTTAGGAAGGGGTGGGAGGGACATGAAGTTAACAATTCCATCACGACACTCTGCTTTACCTCGCTACTTACACAGACCAAAGATTTGACAAAGACACACAAATCAGGTTTCATGAAGCTGTTTCAGCTAAGTTCTGAAATGCTGCATCAGCAGACATACATTCAAAAAGCAAAAATTCCTTCATATCTTCTTATAATACTATATATAGAATGTTGTTATTTAATAAATAAGACTAACACAATTCATTATACAGTTTTCTAACAACCCAATCCCACGCCCCTTAAAAATCAAGGGCATCTTTGCTATTGGCTTCAATAGGAGCAGGTGTTTCTATAGTGCAGTGACATAACCTGCCTCAGAGAGCTTCCTTATTCATTTGCTTTTCCACCCTACGATTGATTTACTTTGGCACTCCATTTGTTCTGTTCATAGTGCCAGTCTAAACAGCCCTTTAGGCCTCTTTCTCCAGTTCTCTTCCCCTTTACTGAGTTATAGAGGTAGTCTGTTATATTTTCCATTAAAGGAAATTGCCTCTGAACCCAAGGGCAATAATGATTAAGGGAAAGATACCCCAGGCAGGGCAGATAAAGAG